TGAACAAGACGAAGGCTATTATGGAGACGAAACCTCCATCAACAAAGAAAGAGTTGCAATCTCTATTAGGTAAAATAAACTTTTTAAGGAGATTCATATCTAATTTGAGTGGGCGAACTCAGGCTTTCTCTCCACTCCTCCGTCTCAACCAAGGGAATTTCGAATGGACGGCGCAGCATCAGGAGGCATTCGAGAAAATCAAGGCCTATTTGATGCATCCTCCTATACTTGCACCCCCTTCTAAAGATAAGCCAATGAGATTGTATATCTCTGCCTCCAATGTAACTATAGGTAGTTTGTTGGCCCAAGAAAACGATGATGGCGTCGAAAGAGCCATCTACTATATTAGTAGGGTCCTAAATAAAGCAAAGACTAGGTATAGTAGCATTGAAAAACTATGTCTCTGTCTGTATTTCTCTTGTACAAAACTTAAATATTATATTAAACTAGTTGATGTTTATGTTTCATCTCACTTTGATGTTATTAAACATATGCTTTCAAAACCAATCATGCACAGCAGGATTGGTAAATGGGCTTTAGCGCTCACTGAGTATAATTTGGCCTTCAAGCCTTTAAAGGCTATTAAAGGACAAGTAGTTTCAGATTTCATAGTGGCTCACTCTGTGAGTGAGGACTTCGCGTTAGATTATGTTGATATCCACCCATGGAAATTATCCTTCGATGGGTCAACACATAAAAACGGAAGTGGTGTTGGAGTCCTTATAATTTCTCCTGAAGGAATTCCAAAAAAATTCAAGTACAAGTTAGAAGGCCCTCCCTGTTCAAACAACGAAGCTGAGTATGAAGCATTGATTGCTGGACTTGAAGCTTTGTTGGAATTGGGGGCAACCAGAGTCGAAATAAGTGGAGACTCAGAGCTGGTCATCAAACAGATAACCAAAGAATACAAATGTATCAAAGAAAATTTGATCATATACTTTGTTATTGCTAACAGATTACTCAAGAAATTTGAATATGTGGATATAAAACATATTCCCAGAATTGATAATCAGGAGGCAAATGACTTGGCTCAAATAGCCTCAGGATATAAGACATCTAAAGAAAAACTCCAATACCTCATAGAAACAAGAGACAGAATAATGGCTACCAAATTATCACCATTAGACTTAGAAAATTCAAAACTTGGTTATGCTAATCAGAAAGAATTCGAAGTGCTAAATATTGATACTTTGGCAGATACAGATTGGAGAAGTCCTATAATAAATTACTTGAAAGAACCTTCAGTAAGTACAGAGAAAAAGATCAAATATAAGGCATTGTCTTATGTGCTAATAGGGAATGAACTTTTTAAGAAAACCCCAGAAGGAATCTTACTCAAATGTTTAGGAGAAAACGAAGCATATTTAGCATTGTCCAGTGTGAACAGTGGGGCATATGGGGCACATCAAGCAGGTCACAAAATGAAATGGTTGTTGTTTCGATACGGAATGTATTGGCCCACTATGCTCAAAGACATCATAGAATTTTCTAAAGGATGCGAGGAATGCCAAATTCATGCAGGCATTCAACATGCTCCTGCAAGTGAGTTACATTCAATTGTTAAGCCTTGGCCTTTTAGAGGATGGGCATTAGATATAATTGGTGAAATACGACAAACATCATCCAAAAGACAGAAATATATCCTTGTGGGTATAGATTATTTTACAAAATGGGTCGAAGCAATTCCTCTAGTGAATGTTGATTAAGAGGCTATTATGGAACTTGTCCAGAAGCAAATAATTTACAGGTTCGGAATACCAGAAAGTATCACAACAGATCAAGGTTCAGTTTTCACAGGGCGAAAAATGTAAGAGTTTGCAAAAGAATTGGGATTTAAGTTACCTACGTCAACCCCTTGTTATGCTCAAGCTAATGGACAAGTGGAAGCAGCCAATAAAGTCATAATAGGGTTGATAAAGAAACATGTAGGACGAAAGTCAAAGAATTGGCACAAAACTTTGGACCAAGCTTTATGGGCATGTCGAACATCTCCTAAAGAAGCAACGAATACTACTCTGTTTCGACTTACATTTGGGCACGACGCAGTGCTGGCAGTCGAAATACATTTACAGTCAGTGAGAATCCAAAGAAAAAATGAGATACCAGCTGTTCAATATTGGGAAATGATGATGAATGAATTAGTGGACGTGGATGAAGATAGGCTACATGCTTTAGAAGTTATGAGAAGACAGAAAGAAAGAGTAGCCAGAGCATACAACAAAAGAGTTAAAGGTAAGTTGTTCTCAACCAATGACCTGGTGTGGAAAGTTATATTACCTATGGATAAAAAGAATAGATTATTAGGTAAATGGTCACCCCATTGGGAGGGACCCTTTCGTGTTTTGAAAACATTTTTGAATAATGCTTATGAAATAGAAGAATTAGCAGAAGATAGAAGAATTAGCAGAAGATAGAAGAATCTTTAAGGTTAATGGGAAATACTTAAAAAGGTATAAGCCATGCTTGCAAGAGGTTCGAATCACTACAGGATAATTAAAAATAAAACAAATAATAAAGCCAAAATGGTATTATATAAATGCCAAAATGGTTGTGTTCAATCCTTAACAATAAAAAGCATTAACAAAATACATTCGAAAATAAAAAAGGGGAATTTCGTTTCAGCTTAGCAAACTTGCTCTTGCATAAGTTGATCTTGCATTGGGTGGCATTTCTGACTCTTTCGAGCCCCTTGATCTCTTCGCTTATTCCTTCAGCTACCTCCATCTATTGAAGACTTTGTGTGACAAGATTTTCAAGTTCTTTGTCATCAACGGGCTTCAAGGCTGCCTGCTCATTTCGAGCACCCTCAATTTTCTTTTTGAGTTCTTCAATCTGGGATTCCCAAAACAAGATTGATCGAGCCAAAACATCATGCTTATCTTTGGCCTGGATTTTAGCATGCTCCAACTCCTCTACTTCTTCAGAAAGTCTCGAAGTTTGGTCATAAGCTTTAGACAAAGCCTCTTGTTTGGTTCGAATCTTAGCCTCAGCATCATTAACCCTAATATATTCACTGCTAACGTCATTGAGCAAGATTTGCAGATCATATATGGTCTCACTTACTTCAGGTGGACAAATGCCGAGATCTATCTGAGAAAGCAACTTCTTCATCGAAAAATAGTATGCAGTGTCTTCTTTTAGAATGGTAAAAATGTCAGCCTCAAGAATAGTTTTGTTGACTTGTTGAAGAAGTTGGTCGAGAGAAGTAAGAGGGGCAATATCCTTCGTTTGGCTCGAATCTTCAGATTGATTTTTTCTAGAAGAAGAATCTCGTTGAGCTAGCATTAACTTGATATATTTCTAGGGATTACTCTGTTTTAGCTCTTCTTTCTGTTCCCCAGTCAAAATTGGAAGATCTGGTTTTTTAGTGAAAATAGTTCCAGCAGGAACGGGTGAAACAACCGGCTGAAAATCATCAAAACAATGAAGTCGCCATCGAACGTCTTTTATCCCACATGTAGGGAAAGGTAAACATCGAGAAAACCTGAGAAGGGAGAAGTCACGGTCTTGCGACCGAGAGATCGGGTAAGGGAGTATGTTACACGAGGGGAAGGTATTAGCACCCCACACGCCCGTAGTACTCTATGGTATCCACTCTTGTTATCTATCTTATAGGTGTGTTCAATATGTGTTTACTGTCTACTATACTACTGGAAGGAGAATGCATGAAAAAGAAAGGGAAAAATGTAGGGAAAATAAAATTGTGCTCGCCTGGGTCCTACCCCAATGCCTACGTATCCGTTTTGAGGAATCAGAGCTACCGTAGTTCGACTCATATGTTTTTGTTTGTTTGTGTTTTTTGTGGACGAAGTTAATTCCGCCTTCTGCCGCAGCTCGACCTTTGGAGACTTATGCATTGGCACAGAAGTAAATTAATCGTGTCCTTACCTGAAAAGGGTTTCTTAGAAAAGTGCTCGAGCGCACAAAATGGTTTGAATTTGTTTTGTATTTTTGTTGCAGATAATGACTGATTGACCTCAAGAGAGAGGTATTAGCCACTTTTCTACTTAGCTATGAAAGGAGTCTTTGAGAATTGAACCACACCTATGCTTGAGATGAAGAACGATAAGGTCGAGAAGAGACCCGCTTATCATTTCTCGTACTAAGCAAAAGCATGATTCTCATCAGTAGTTTTTTAAGTGTTTTGAAATTTGAAAAGAAAAGAAGTTTTAGTTTTAGATGCGTATGTGAAAGGGGAAGAAAAGTTTAAAGGAGACTAGCTTACTTCTAAACCTAATGTTATTATGCGTATGGATTGCGATAAAGTACGAAAATGAAGAATAAAATAGATTTGTGACGATACCGAACGGAGGAGGTCTGTTGCCTCTTCAAAATTGTGCAAGCGGTAAGAAAATTCTATCAAGGTTCCCTTTGGAAAGTGATTGAAGAATTAACCCCGAGCATTCCATATTGCAAGAGTTATATCAATGCTATCACAAAAATCTTGACTAAAAAAGTCAATAAAAATGATTATCAAATATGAAAAATAAAATAGAAAAAATTCTAATCGAAATTCTAAAAAGAAATTCTAAAGAAATCTAAAATATTCTATTGTTTTGTATCATTTTATTATCAATTGAGAGAGAAAATTAAACTAGAAGAAAACTAAAATAATAAAAAAGAAAAATTAGAAGAGTCAGGAGGTATGAGCTAAATTCAGGGGGTGTGGTTCAGCAATTTGTCCAAGGCCCAACAAGAAACATCCATGAAAAGCCATTTTTACTAAATAATCTCCAGGCTGAAGAAACACAAATGATAACGGGCCTGAAGCGAGCATGGGGTTCGGCCCAATCCAATAGCCCCATCACCAGATTTTCAGCCTTTTATTCATTTCAACAAATTATTACCAGCATTATTATTAATTTGAAATAAAAAATATAAAATAATAAAACAATTAAACTAAAAGGAATAAACATGTGAAATTGGAAGAGGATTAGGGTTGAGGGGAGCAACGGCGGAGCTTCCTCGTTCTCACCCTCTCAATGGCGCCGCCGGTCTCTTCACCTCCACCGCCGCTTCAATCGGCCTTCGTCTTCCTCCTTCCGTAGCGGACACAACCTCTTCACCTCGCTCTGAATTTGTTTGTCTTCGTGGCTAGCCGCTCGCCTCTGTAGCCTTTGTTTCACTAATCTCCTCAACATCGATACTCTCCGCCACTCACTCGTTTCCTTGTGCTCTATGCATTGCCAATCATTGTGCCAACGTTGTTGTTGGATGAAGATTATTGATGCTGACACGTGGTTGCGTCGTTTCTGTGCGGTGATGAGGGCCATTGATACGCGTTGAAGCCTCGGTGTTGATTCGGTGAAGAAGATGAGGGTGCTGATGCGAGATAAGAAAGGTGAGTTTTCTATGTATTGAATTGATAAATCTGACTCTTGTAGTGTTACAAATTGTTGTTGATGTTAAAATTTTGGTGTGGAATCGTTGACGTTCTGATTGTTGCGGGTTCAGTGAAGAGAATGATGCTGAAGATTGACACGTTTTTGAGAGGTCAAAGATTGAAGGTGATGTAGTGAGAAGTTGTGAAGCTTGTTGCAGATTGTTGTGTTGAAGTTGTTGTGATGAATGATGCTGATGTTGTTGCGGAAGGCTTTCCTAAAGTGACGAAGAACCGTGGCCTTCTTGATGAGGGTTGATAATGATGATTGAAGCCCGATGCAGAGAAAAGATCAGGGAGATTAAAGGTTTGCGAGATGATGATTGAGGTTGCAGCAAATTGTTGCGGTTGGATGAAGATGTAAAAGGGATGGTGGATTGAGGAACGATGCGGAGAAAAAGGTGAGATGAACTTTTTTCTTGTGATTTTTCTATCACTTTTATGGGTTGTTGAATCGTATCCCCCTATTCTATCAAAAATCTCCTTTTGTATATGCTGTGAACTCTATTATATATTTTCTGTAGAGTTTGTTGGGAAATTGGTTAGGGGTTTGTTGGACTGTTAGTTGGTTAGGGATGAGTTAGTTGTTATAACAGTTTTGGTTATTGTTATAGAAGTTAGGAAAAAGTTAGTTATGAATCTGTTAGAAGCGGTTAGAAGGTTTGAGAGTTTGTTATGAATTGGTTATGGATATGGTTTTGACAGTTGGTTGGTTTTTTGATTTTCTGTTTGGCTTTTTATTTGGAATTCCTCCTTTTCTGCCCCCGTTTTCGGGTTTATGTATATGCTGTTTTTGAATCACGGACATGAAATGCGAGTGTCAACCTGTATGCTAACATTCTCATTTCCCTGATGTGGGTACTACTACTACTTGCAGGTGGTGTTGTAATGCTAGAACCTGAAGAAGACTGCATGTTAATCTATGCCATAGTCTTGATGATAATGGTGTATAATTATAATGAGACAATTGCCAAAGTCTTTGTTTTGTACTCGAATAGTTGGAGTTATTCAAGTCTCGTAGAGCAACTGGTTGCACAAATGGTGAAGGGGTAACGCGTCTAAGCCGATTATGAATTGTACCCCCATATACATGTATCACACTCAGTTTGAATTTGAATTGGCAGCACGAGTATGTCGTAGTCATGTGAATGTATGTTACAGATGTGATGATCATGGAACAGTTGAATGATAGCACAGATTAATCATGATGCTAGCTTTTTCTTTTTGTTGAATACAGGTTTTCATGGGCGGGGCAACAACATTAATGACCTTCACGTAAAGCAAATTATAACAAACGCAAGTATCCTCAGCCAAGACAGTGTTGATAACATCTCCCATTGTCAAATATCAAAACTCATGAGGCACGGTAGAAGAAACATGGGCAGTCCTATGATTAAGTTCCAACTTGACAATCACCTAGGATTCTTTTTATGTGAGGAAATAAAGTGTAATGGTTTGTATAAGGAAATGTAGTGTAATGATTTGAAATATTTCTTCCTGAATTTGTATTGTGATCCGACCATATATTGATTGAATGAAACGCCTTAATTCGCGGTAGAACTTCGAATGACTCATGGTGAAGAATGCTTGAAGTTTTCAAATGGGATTGTGGGATAAGCTTATTTGAGTCATACTTGCACTATTTTGCATATTTAGACCATTGATGAAACTTTCTTTGAGGCCCCCTTTTATCCCATGTTCCGACTTGTCACGCCATGATTTCCCTCCAAAAATTGAAACCCAAATGAAAGTGTTGTAGATTTAAATGGAACTTTTATCAAAAATTAACTTTCCCAAATTGACGTTTGAAATTTATCGTGGGATATCTGGCATCAAAACTTGAATTCAATTTGATATCTCATAAAGAAATGAAACCCAATCCACTTATATGCCATGCCTAGATCTTGAATATTGGAAGATGAATTAAGTGAACCCCGAATCCGGTTCAAATCTTAATGAGTAAATTCCAAACGGCTTGCATCTTCGATGATCCTTAATTCCATCCAGTCGAACTAATAATGATGAGGTTACCTTAAATTTAAGACCTCGTAGGGAAACACTTTTGAAGGCCACACGTTCAGGGAAATAAACCTTGAATCACAGAATGGCGATGAACAGAAGAAAGTGGTCAATGTCTTAGCTTATAGTCCTTAGAAGGAGACTCTTGTAGAATGTCCTGTATAAACAACTGTGTTTCTTTCTCATGCTTTGAAGAACAACTTGAATCCCTTGGAAGAAGATAAGAGCTTCAAAGACTTAAAGAAACCCTGGTTCCCCAAGATCCTTGATCCTTATGCCAAGCCTTATTGTTCGAAATCCATGATCTTATGCCAATTTATTGATTAATGATGCATGATGTGTTAGATGACCTAATGGAAATTATATATGTGATAAAAATGCAAAAATGCGTAAGCCAGATAGGAAGTAAAAGGGTGGGACAAATTTGGGGTATTACAGCTGCCCCTATTTAATCGTCTTAAACCTGAAAGTACGATTGGCGCGTGCCTTTCGGAAGTTCAAGGTGGAAGATGATTAAATACCAATGCCGAAAATTTGTCCTAGGAGAAAGTATAAGTGTTTTCTTTATTTTTTTGTGATATTTATTGGGGAAAGGAAATTTGTTTTTTCAATGAAGAGACAGAGATTGGACTTGTAACGTGGCTTGATGCCAATACAAGACAAATGGTTGGTATGAAAAGACAGCGGACGAGGTCTACGGGCGACCTAGGATCCTAAGGTGACACATGAGAGTGATTTTGACAGAGAACCTAGCCAAAGGGAGATCTCAGGTTCTAAGACAAAGTAAATGGAAATAACCTAGCCAAGAGGCGATCTCAGGTTCGACGATGATTTGAGGAAAGAACCTAGCCAAGAGGCGATCTCAGGTTCGACGATGATTTGAGGGAAGAACCTAGCCAAGAGGCGATCTCAGGTTCGACGATGGTCTAAGGAAGAACCTATCCAAGAGGCGATCTCAGGTTCGACGATGATTTGAGGGAAGAACCTAGCCAAGAGGCATCTCAGCTTCGACGATGATTTGAAGGAAGAACCTAGCCAAGAGGCGATCTCAGGTTCGACAATGATCTATGGGAAGAACCTAGCCTACGGGCGATCTCAGGTTCGACGAAGGTTTGAGGGAAGAACCTAGCCAAGAGGCGATCTCAGGTTCGACGATGATTTGAGGGAAGAACCTAGCCAAGAGGCGATCTCAGGTTCAACGATGATTTGAGGGAAGAACCTAGCCAAGAGGCAATCTGAGGTTCGACGATGATTTAAGGAAAGAACCTAGCCAATAGGCGATCTCAGGTTCGACGATGATTTGAGGGAAGAACCTAGCCAAGAGGCGATCTCAGGTTCGACGATGATTTGAGGGAAGAACCTAGCCAAGAGGCGATCTCAGGTTCGACGATGATTTGAAGGAAGAACCTAGCCAAGAGGCGATCTCAGGTTCGACGATGATTTGAGGGAAGAACCTAGCCAAGAGGCGATCTCAGGTTCGACGATGATTTAAGGGAAGAACCTAGCCAAGAGGCGATCTCAGGTTCGACGATGATTTGAAGGAAGAACCTAGCCAAGAGGCGATCTCAGGTTCGACGATGATTTGAGGGAAGAACCTAGCCAAGAGGCGATCTCAGGTTCGACGTGGATTTGAGGGAAGAACCTAGCCAAGAGGCGATCTCAGGTTTGACAAAGGTTTGGGGGAAGAACCTAGCCAAGAGGCGATCTCAGGTTCGACGAAGGTTTGGGGGAAGAACCTAGCCAAGAGGCGATCTCAGGTTCGACGATGAAAACATGGGTTACGACATGATGATTGTGTAGATAAACGACACGGACGAGCATCAAGAAAGTTTAAACACGGACGAGTGTTTGAATCAATACGGACGAGTATTGAAAGAAGATACGGATGAGTATCCAAGGTTAAACACGGACGAGTGTTTGAATCAATACGGACGAGTATTGAAAGGAGATACGGACGAGTATTAAAGGTTAAACACGGACGAGTGTTTGATTCAATACGGACGAGTATTGAAAGGAGATACGGACGAGTATCAAAAGGTTAAACACGGACGAGTGTTTGAATCTATACAGACGAGTATTGAAAGGAGATACGGACGAGTATCAAAAGGTTAAACACAGACGAGTGTTTGAATCAATACGGACGAGTATTGAAAGGAGATACGGACGAGTATCAAAAGGTTAAACACATACGAGTGTTCGATTTAATACGGACGAGTATTGAAAAAAGATACAGGCGAGTATCAAAAAGGTTAAACACGAACGAGTGTTTGATTCAATACGGACGAGTATTGAAAGGAGATACGGACGAGTATCAAAAGGTTAAACACGGACGAGTGTTTGAATCAATACGGACGAGTATTGAAAGGAGACACGGACGAGTATCAAAAGGTTTAAACACGGACGAGTGTTTGATTCAATACGGACGAGTATTGAAAGAAGATACAGGTGGGTATCAAAAGGTTAAACACGGACAAGTGTTTGAATAACTGACCCAAGTGGGTGTTTAGGAGACTTGACACATACGAGTGTTTGGGAATGGTCACGGACGAGTGTTTAGGGAACCGACTACCAGACAAGAACTGGGTTTAGAACGGCAAAGTGTATTGATTTTGTTTGGTATTGAAAAGGTGTAGGTCACCGACTGGGGACTTTGGGCATGATATCCTTTTGTAGGGATGTATTGTTGTCCTTGAATAATTCAGGTCTTTCGTGTAAGGTATCTGATCTGGCTTATGCTTCGTATGCATGTTTGAATTTCTTTTGACGCAAAGATCCACTCTGATGGACCAGCTACGCGCTTTTGAGGATGCAATGTTATGTAATGATAACTATATGTAATGCGAAGAAATAAACTTAATGGGGATAAAAAGAGGC